AGTAGGCGTCCTATTCTTGTTACTATGATGATGAGTAACCTTCATCCTATCGCTCCCACACTACAACGATTTTTTTTGTTTCATTTATTACATGAAAATTTAAATCAGCTTTTGTCCTACTAAGTGTTCACAGTTCATTAGTTAAATTTGAGCTTTGATGTTTGAAGTGATTAGAGCTTCAAATAAAATTTTAATACTCGTGTTTTGAATTTTTGACATGTTTATGTCGTTTGTAGAAGGCTAAAGGGTCAAATAGGCCCTTGAACTGACTTAAAATGTTCAATCAACCCCTTATATAGGAGGATCTGCCCGGCCGTCGCCAATTGGGGCCGTTTTCTGATGGTCCCAGACAGAGGTAAAAGTCTAGAGGGGGGGTGAATAGACTTTTATAGCTTTTTTCGTCTTTAAGAACTTTTCCCTTCTAGTTGAGTTGATCTATAATCTTTTGGGAGATTAATAGATGCACAGCGGAAGTCTTTAACCTCTAGCAACACAGTGTAAGATAACTTTCTAGTCTGGGTGATGTTTAGACTAATTATGGAAGGGCAGTAGGCTTGGCAGTTGGATGATGGGTAGGCGACTGCTGAGGCAACTGCTGAGTTGGCAGTTAGCTGAAATGGAGGAGACTGCTGAGGCAACTGCTGAGAAAGTATTGAGTGTTTGAACAAGGTGATGATGAACTGTTGGTAAGAATAGTGAGGGCTTTTGAAAATGTGCTCTAATATATGTAATCAGAAATTTTGCTGGAGCAGTGGTCTCAGCAGTTGATTGGTGATGAGGGCACTGCCGAGGTGCCTGCTTGGTTTAGAGGATGAATTTCACAAAGCAGTTTGGTCAACTTCCTCGTTGGTAATGTTATGAAGGTCCAGTGATATTGGGATACTTAAGAAAAACAAGTGTTTATGAGCAGAGAGCTCAGCAGTTGGATGGACACCAGGGGACTGCTGAGGCACCTGCTATACTTGAGAATGAATTTCAGGACAATGACCTGATAAGCCTTTTAGTGATATTTATGCACGTTTCTTGTGTGAAAAAGGTCTCAAAGAAAGTAAGTAATTAAGCAGTAGGATAAGCAGTTGGGTCTGTTAAGGCAACTGCTTAGGATGCTGCTGGCAAACTCCAATCTTTTTGTGAGAAGTGTTGGTTGTGTGCTTTGTTGACTAACATAAAATCAACACACGATGTATCCTGGTTCAGAGGTGGTGTAATCCTCCTACATCCAGTCCCACCCTCTTTCAGATGGATTTCACTAAAGTATTAAGCCCAATACACTTAGTGTCAATCCAGCCTTTACAACACTTAGGCCTAGATTGAAGGTTTTTCACAATGAGTATAGCACCACTCAAGGTTACTCAGTCCTTAGACTTTTCTCTAATGAACCAGTGGGGTTCAAGAGGTACTCTTTCTATCTAACTGCACTTTAGGATCTGAACAACCGTTCTCCTAAGTGTTTACAACAACTTGTGATTGCAAGAAAGTTCTAACCTCCAACTATGAACTAAGCTCTTCAAATATGACAGTTGTTAATCTAATCTTAGAGCTTAGTGAAGCATGAGTCTAAGCAGAGAGCAAAGTTGAAGTTGCACTTTCTCTTTTGCTAGATAGCTCGTGAATATTTAGAGTGATTACTCTACTTAGAAGACTCAACAACTTGGTTTTAGAACTCATGCCTATGCCTTCTTTTATAGGCTTCTCCAGTAGGTTGATCTCCTCCGTTGGTTGAGAGGATTCAATCCTATTCGTAGAATGAGGTGTACTCTTGTTCTCTTGTGCTGGAGCTGATAATGGAAATTTCCTTTGTCTTCACTGATTAGTAGCTAGAAGATCAAGTCAAGGATCAATCTTCACGATTTGGTGTGTGCGACCCATCTTCTTTGGTCTTCGTACTGTTGATCATTTAATGCTCTTCTTGTCTTTGTCTTCAATCATACACATGCAGTGTATGTGTGTGTGTTTGTGCCGTGTTCTATTATATTATGTACCAAATGAATTTGTACTGGTAGGATCAAAGTCTCCTTCTAAGGTAAACGAATTTTACCTTATTGTAATTTTTAGTTTCCAGTAAAATTTATTTGGTACAGAATTTATTTTGTCATTTCTTGATCAGCTGATTATGTGACTTGATAATTTTATGTACTAAATAAATTTATACTGGTGGGATCTGAATATCCTTTTAAGGTAAAAATTTACCTTATTGCATTTTAATTTTCCAGTAAAAATTTATTTAGTATAAAAATTGTACATTTTAATTAGTCACAGTTTGAGAACCTGATCAATTTTTAATTTAGTAAGAACACAGGGCATAATGACTTTTAGTATAGTGGCATCATCAAAATCTTATCAAAATTGGGTACTAACATTTTCGGTGGAATTTTTTTAGCATCTTCTTCATTAAGTCTAGTTTACGCATACCAAATTCCAACTAAAAATTCAACCGGGAAGAAAGTCAAATGATTTTTTTAAGATAACTGCGAAGTTAAACAGTGCAACACATTTCGGAAAATCATTTGACTACCTTCCCGGTTGAATTTTTAGCTGAAATTTGATATGGGTAAACTAGACTTAATGAAGAAGATGCTCAAAAAATTCCATCAAAAAATTCCACCAGGAACGGCCCCAATTTGCGATGGCCGGGCAGAACCTCCTATATAAAGGGCTAATTGAACACTTTAAGTCAGTTCAAGAGCCTATTTGATCCTTTAGCCTTTGCAGAAAGTAAGTTATGTGTTAATTCTTAGATGAGAAAAATTATTCTAGGAACCGGTAAAAGGAAGAACCGAACCGATAACATTACGGTTCTTGATTTTTTATACAGGAACCGAACCGATTTCATTAGTTAAAACTTTTATAACGGTTTCACTCATTTTGATTAAGAACCGAACCGGTCCCAGCGCTACCCTTATGTTCTTAGCTGAAAATTGAAAAAAGTTAAAAATCACTAAAGTTTATTGGGAAAACTGTCAAATAGGTACTCGAACTTTCATAAAAAGGTCAATTAAGTCCTTCTATAGGAGGTTCTGTCCGGCCGTTGCGATTTGGGGCACTTCCCGGTGGAATTTTTTGATCAACTTTTTTGAGCAACTTATTCACCAAGTCTAGTTTATTCATACCAAATTTTAGCTAAAAATTCAATCGGGAACACATTTAAATTAATTCTTGAAGATAACTGCGCATTTTTGCGTTCTCGAATTAATTTGAATGCGCTCCCGATTAAATTTTTAGTTGAAATTTGGTATGATTAAACTAGGCTTGATGAATAAGACGCCCCAAATCGCGACGACCGGACAAAGTCTTATATAGAAGGACTTAATTGATTTTTTTATGAAAGTTCGAGGACCTATTTGATAGTTTTCCCTTTATTGTAAAAGGATAATCAATTTAATTGAGTGTTTTTTGAGTTCGGGGGCTTAATTGAATTTTGCGGACGTATTTGATACTTTTCTCTCGAAAAAAATACACCCATATACCGACTCAGATTTAAATTTCTGGGAATCATAATAAGGGTTGGTTTGCAACTGCTTTTAAAAAAGCACTTCTCAGCTTTTGGCTTTAAAAAAGCACTTATTTTCCCAAGTACTACAACTTTTATTTTTCTTGGCTTCCGCGTCAAAAGTACTTTTACTTTTTCTATTACACAAAAAACACTTATTTTACCAAACACTACCCACTTTTACTTTTCAAAATCATTTTTTTCTAAAACACTATCAAAATCCCTAACTAGCACATAAAAAAACAAAACAGAAGGGCCTGTTTACTAATAGAGATATTTTCCAGTTTTCCAGAAAACTGGAAAATTGGAAAACAGAAAAACAGGAAACGTGTTTACCAAAGAAATTCCTGGAAAACTGGAGAAAGGAAAAAAGAAAAACGCGTTTACCAAATCGTTTTCCAAAACGGAAAAAATGAGACATGTCTCTCTTTTCCTTAATGATTTGGAGAAGTGACTTTTATTAGTTTTCCAAATTTGGAAAACGCAGATGCTACAGTGCCGCTGCAATGAATTTGCATACTTACACCTAGTGGTGGGTCCAGTCCCGCTCCGATGTCGATTCCATTTCGGTACCTCCATCCTCGTACCTTACCCCTTACCCCTACCCTACCCTACCCACCCAACCCCACCCCGCATACCCATTTTTCCTTATAATGACCCTACCCCACCCCGATCCACCCTACCCTATTGCCACCCCGATCCACCCTACCCTACCGCCACCCCCGACCCACCCTACCCTACCCCCCACCCGTATATTATCCCTTACCACATGCACCTACCTCGGCCCCACCCCACCGCCATCCTACCCCCACCCTTCCGCCATCCTACCACCATCCTACCCTTCCCCTACCTCGGCCCCACCCCGACCCACCCTACCCTACCCCCACCCGTATATTACCCCTTACCCCTTACCACATGCCCCTACCTCGGCCCCACCCCACCGCCATCCTACCCCCACCCTTCCACCATCCGACTACCATCCTACCCCTACCCTTCCCCTACCTCGGCCCCACCCTATCGCCATCCTATCCCACTACCCCTACCTTACCCCAACCCCTACCCACTACCCCCACCCTTACCGCCATCCTACCCCCTACCCCTTCCCTACCTCAGCCCCACCCTGGTCCCGGCCCCACCCTACCGCCATCCAATCCCAACTCCATACCCTACCTCTACCTTACCCCAAACCCTACCCACTACCCCACCCTTACCCCTAACCACGATCCTAACCCACCCACTACCCCCACCCAACCCCCTACCCCTAGACCTTACCACCCCCGACCATACCCCCTATCCCACCCCCACCCATAACTTCCCTACCCCGACCCCTACGAGTAGGTATGGGTGTGTATGAAGGGTTGTGGGGGAGTATGGGTAGAGTGTAAGATCGTGGTAAGGGTAGGGGTCAAGGGTGTGGAATTGGAGAACTAGGTGAAAAAATTGATGAACATGTTTTCAAATTGAAAATGGAAAACTATAAAATAGAAACAAAAAATTGGAGATAGAAAAACTGAAAAATAGGAGAACAAAAAAGAAGTAGTAAACAGGCCCGAACATTTCCACTTGAATTCAACAATCCCTGCGCCATCGCTCCTTCTTCGAGATCTGGTGAGCCTCAGCTCCTTCCCTCCACGCTTGAATCACCGCTCCATCCTTTTTTCAAGCTTCAGGTACATCGTCGCTGCCCTTTTCCTTCAGCAGTAAGACATTAGTATCTAACATTGTTGGATTGTGGGAATATCTGACCGTGTGAGTTCCCATGTTTACTCGTTGATCAGATGAAAGATAGTAAAGATGGAACGAAGTCTGACAGGTCCTCGAAACCTGCTTCTACTGACTCTTATCCACTTGTTCTGGACATTGATGACTTTAAGGTTATCGCTTGATTAATTTTGGTGGTTTGATTTTCTCTATTGAGCTTCTTTTGCATAACTTCGAGTAGTGCTTACTAAATACTAACAATGTCTCGTTTTTACCAATCAGGGGGAGTTTTCTTTTGATGCATTATTTGGAAACTTGGTGAATGAACTATTACCATCTTATCAAGCTGAAGAAAAAGATTCATCTGAAGGTCATGGAACCCACTCCGATTCTCTAGCAAATGGAAATGTGCGAATGGCACCAGATGCAGGAAAGGCAGTTCAGGGGCAATTAAGTCCCCTGTTCCCCGAAGTTGATGCTTTACTAGATTTATTTAAGAACTCTTGTACGCAATTGATTGATCTCAGGAAACAGGTAAATTTGGTAAACACATTGTTGATTATGTAACTCTATCCCCCTGCCTTAGCCCTTGCTATTCTGATGTTTTTGGCTGTGTCATTGAAGATTGATGGGAAGCTTAACAATCTCAAGAAAGAAGTTGATGTTCAAGACTCAAAGCACAAGAGAACACTTGCTGAGGTTAAGCCTTTTCATATTTTTCTCTGGTTGCAGAACAATGGGGTGTTTTGACTCTGTGAGAATCACATTTTTAAGTGTTCAGATTTGCTTAGTACGTATATTGTCTGCCTCTGAGTTAGTTATGCTATGGTAAAAGTGGAGGGTCTTCATAGTTAGAAGTAGGCACTAACATAGACTAATCTCTAATCTAAGGGTCATAATCTATGTAGCACGGAAATACTCGGGAAAGAGTACGTTTCCATTTTGGAAACTCTACGGAAACTCTCCAAACAAGCATTTTTTTTGAGAAAAAGTTGACGTTTCCCGTTTCATCATGATTTTCACGTTTCCGTTCAACATAGGTCAGAAGTCATAGATAAGATTCACTAAAAATGGAAATATATTTCTATTACAATGCATATTGATAATAAATAGTCCCTTATGAATAAGACGGAGTAATATGTTTGTTTTACTAGAAGAAATTTTTTGTGGTTCTGTCAAATTCCTTAATCAATCAACCTTCAAAATATATTAGTTATCCTTGATTCATTGTTTAGGTATAATGCTGATAATTGAACACTGCAATATTTTAATGTTCAGCTAGCAAAAGGTGTAGATGGCTTGTTTGACAGCTTTGCACGTCTGGATTCTCGTATATCTAGTGTGGGCCAAACCGCTGCCAAAATTGGAGATCATCTGCAGGTGAACACCAGTCGAACTTATTGACTTCATTTTATTCTTTTGTCATCTAGCACATAATTTCTGTATTTATTGTGCAAGTATTCAGAATGCAGATGCACAGCGAGAAAATGCTAGTCAAACTATAGAGCTTGTTAAGGTATTTCTCAGTTCATTATAGTAGCTTGTTCAACAGTGCATATGATTATCAGCTAATCCCTTGCTGATGGATATTCTTCATCTATGTTTTCGGTTTCACTCTCCTCCCCATCTCATAATCTTATAATTATATTGATGGTTTTTGTTGATTTATTGGTATAGTACTTGATGGAGTTTAATGGTAGTCCTGGAGATCTGATGGAACTCTCTCCTTTATTCTCCGATGATAGTCGCGTCGCTGAGGCTGCTTCAATTGCACAGAAATTGAGTAAGATCACTGTACTTGTAGATAAACCTTTTCTTCATTTCTTTCCCTTTTGCATTTATTATTTTAAGCCATGTTTGATTTGGAAAAGGATCATAATATTGCTACTTTGTTTTACAAAACTACGTAGTATTACATATTTACATTTTGTTTTAGCATATACTTTCATTCCAAAAGGGGATATGTCTTAAACATTGAAAGACAGTGTGGCACTAATGTTGAACTCTTAATTTTTATTTTAACATGATGCACATGTTGAATTCATAATATCAAATATCTCATATCTTTGGCTCTTTTCTGTCTTATGATACTTAATATAAAAGTGGGAAACCCTATGGCGATGATATTTATGGAATTTTATCTCAGTGTTCTTTCTTAAGAAGGTTGCAACAAAATTGACATCTCGCGTGAAAAAGTTTTACTATGCTTTTTATGCATGAAATTTTAAACTATTAATTGAAACTACAAATTCCATGCCACCGGAATGAATGGATTGTGCCTTTCCCTAGTTATTTTTATGATAACATCTGTTTTGTCAGTTTCCTTTTGTCCATTCCACTCATCATCATCATCATCATCATCATCGTAACCACAGTGCCGCAAAGGCCCCCCACCTACTGTGGGGTAAAGGTGTGGGGTAAAGGGGGGTCGGATGAACCCGGATGATCCATGGTGAAAATCACGTCGAAAATTGCATGAACTGACTGCTGCTTCATAACAAAGTAGCGCCGGACAGTTTAGTGAGCCATTTTGCTTTATTCCATCATATTCCCAAGCCAAAAAATAGTGAATCTTTGGCTCCAATGCAGACAGTTTAGTGAATCTTTTGTCCATTCCACTACTTATCATTTTTCATCTCCCATTTCTTTGTTTCTTATGCTTTATTCTTCAGTTCTATGTAAGTTGGTATTGCTCTTCTATGCTCCAACACTGGGTTTCTTGGTATAGCAAATGACTATTCAATAATCTGATGTTTTTTATTTAAACAAACTAGGGTCATTTGCTGAGGAAGATGTTGGAGGACACGGTACAACGGGGAATGCAATGGCAAGTAGAGGATTGGAAGTTGCTGTTGCTAACCTCCAAGAATACTGCAATGGTACAAGGATGTAAAACCTATCACTTTATTTATTCAGACCTTAGTAGCATATTTTCAGATGCTCAAAATATTACCATTTCCATTATTTCACTTTGGCTGTTGCTACATGCTATCACTGCAAGGTAGTGTCTTATTGAACACATAATAGTCTTCAAACAAAGCAAAACCAGTCTTAAACTGAGCTCTGTTACTAAGAAGCAATCCATTGCCAAAAGAAAACAAATCCCAAATCATCCAAGAAGCAGTCCATTGATCTTGCATGTAAATGCTAGATGATGTCATCTATACTTGTGTTATTGTTAAAGGGTGAATTTTTCCTGGATTAAGTAGAGAGGGGTATCTCTTTGCCTTGAATTTAGTCAGTGTGTGGAATGTGATACTTCATCCGTCCCAAAATGTAAGATACATTTGGTGAAAAGATAAAGTGAGAAAGTTAAAGGTTAGTGGAGTTCAAATTAAGTAAGTGTTCATACTTTGCGACAAACAAAAACGAAAGTGATCTTACGGAATGAGACAAGATGGAGTAATATTTTATGAATTACTACCTCCGTCCCTTCAAACTTTGCCATGTGTGACCGGCACGAGGATTAATAAAGTAAAAACTGTGTGGTTGAGGTTTGTGCAGAGGAGAGAGAATTAACTGGAACCATAAATTATTTACCTAAAAGGGAAAATGGCAATGTTAGTGGGACATCCAAAAAAGGAAAGTTGGCAAAGTTTTAAGGGAATGAGGGAGTACAATTTTGTGTGTGCTAATTCTGTCCTAACTTCACATCATATACGTATGTGTGTGTGTGAAACCATGTATGGGTGCTTTTACAATAGATGAAAAAAAAGGCACCATCCATAGAGACTTATTCTCAAGTGATAGATTGAAGATTAAATGGCTGTGATCATTCTATAGTTCATTTACTGTTGAAACAAAAAAATCTGTGTATAATTTTGGTTATAAAAAGAGTTGGTGTCTATGAAGCGGTACCTAATGAAACCCATCTTTCTCTTTCTCACACGCACAAATATAAAAATAGAGAAATGATCTCATTAGTCCAGACTCAGCAAATTGGGATTGGCTGTTGGATCCCTTCAGCAGTTCATATTTTCTCATTCATTAGGATAAAGTACTGTATTATTTCTACCGTTAGCTCTTGTCAATGATTCACTTTCACCAAATCAGTCCAAGCTTTTAGGTGACTTCTATTGGAGAGAAAGTCAGTTTCAAGTACTATTTTCGATGAAATTGAGTTATTGAAACGATCTGACGGTTAAAATGAATTGCGGAGTGTAATGACCAAAAAAATATGAATCATTGATGACCTAATTGGCGGAATGAATTTTGGCCCGCCAGAATCTCATAAAACTACAATGATGTGATCATTTCTTTCTCACTCAAATCTAAGTGATTTTTTTGTATGCTGGGGACTTTCATTATTAAAAGTGTTAATTTAAATGTACAAAGTTAATTGACATTTGATACTAAATCTATGCCTCCCACCCCAACTTAGTTGGGAGTATGTATTAAAGTGATAAGAATTGCCCCATAAAGAAGTAAAAAAACACGGGATAACTAAATAATAGGACCACCAGTTTTTTACTCTCAAACAGGAGTTCTTTTTATACCTTTTAGCCCTATCTAAAAAAGGTTTAGGGGTGTAGTGGTGGCTAGCACCGGTAGCTGCCGGCAGACGGCAGTGGCTTGAGTTGGATAGTCGCATGTAATTTTTATTTTTACTATAAGATTGAATGTTGTAAGAAAGGACAAAATTGTCAGTACATTGCCTTTTACCACTATAGAACATGCTACTCCTATTTAGGGAACATTCCTATGTTTACGTCCCGTTTGGGAACTAGCTCTTTAGTGATTAGGATGATTCCGTTTGTGCAGAGTTGGAAAACAGATTATTAACACGTTTTGACGGAGCTTCACAAAGACGGGAGTTGAATACAATGGCAGAATGTGCGAAAATTTTGTCAAAGGTAAGTTTGGCACATTTCTACCACAGTTACAAATTACTGTTGGCAGGAACATCATACAGTAAAAGAACACATCTTGATCATGAAAAGTGTCTATCAAAAGTTACTTTTACCTTTTTATCTTCTCTTCTTTTTTTCTTTTTCATTCTTAAAAATTAACCGGAGAAGTGAAATGTGTTTAGTCTGATTGATACGATAGTAGACTTCGAATATCATTAAAAGTCATGGATCTTATTTGCCTATGCTAGTTCTTTCGGGATTTTTTTTTATTTTTCCATCATTTGCAGTGGAAGCGATAGGATGAATAGAAAATTTGATATATACTATTATTAATTGACAATGCAGTTTAACAGGGGTACTAGTGCCATGCAACACTATGTTGGACTGCGTCCGATGTTTGATTTGGAAGTCATGAATGCAGATGCTAGATTAGTTTTCGGTGATCAAGGATCCCAACCTAGCCCTAGCAATGTTGCACGTGGTCTTTCTTCAGTGTATAAAGAAGTTACAGGTGTCAAATAAAATAATGGCCAAAAGGCAATTAATTATTCAATTAATGTGTAGTGTGTGTTTCTGTTCTTGATGTCCACTATGTTTACACAGTATGATTTACTTTCAGACACCGTGAGAAAAGAAGCGGCCACTATAATGGCAGTATTTCCTTCACCAAATGATGTCATGTCAATATTGGTTCAGGTACACGAGTCATTTTTTGATTGATTTGTGCAATGAACTTTGCTTGTGATTTTCTACATTTTCTTTCAATATGTAAAGTTCAAAATCAGAAACAATTTCTTTCTCCAAGTCTGTTTATGCACATACATTGATCAGATAATAGTATACTACACTTGTGTTTACACATAGCTAACATACACACCACCTGAGAATGGATGATACAGTAGGAAATGAGAAATTACTCGCAATGTGTAAATCAAGACAATAAACCATTCAATTAAGACTTTCATAATACAGTACTCGTACATTCTTGCAAACTTCATAAAAGTGCATACTTATTACACAGAAGTGCACATCATAGAAGTAATCAATTAACTTCTTTGTTGAGTGATGCACCTTTTCTTGTATTTGTATGAATACTCATTATAATGTGCATTGATTTAGTGATGGATTTTCATATGCAGCGGGTTTTAGAAGATCGAGTTCCAAAACTTTTAGAGAAGCTATTGACGAAGCCATCTCTTGTCAATCCACCTCCAACTGATGAAGGTGGACTAATACTGGTGATTGTTTTTTGAAACGATTCTTGTTACATTTAAAATATATTTTCACTGTTCAAGTAACCGAATCACTTGTTTGCCTGATTGTTCTAATTAATATTTCAGTATCTCAGACTATTGGCTGTGGCATATGACAAAACACTGGAGCTTGCTAGAGATTTACGTGGGGTTGGGTGTGGTGACTTGGATGTTGAAGGTGAGTGTACTGATGTACACCTACCATAGAATCAGTTATATGTGAACGATATGGATGTCTTATTTGATCACCAAACTGCTAGTAATCTTGAATGAAATCCACCGTATTTCAGCTCATGTAAAGGTTTCTGTATCTTTTTTATCTCATCTTATCATTTTATCTTTTTAGCTCTGATATCATACGAAGGGGAGCCTTGGTGCACTGGTTATGGTGTTGCTGTGTGACTGAGCATGGGTTCAAGTCTTGGGAGCGGCCTCTTGTCAAAATGACAAAGGCTTGCCCCCTTATACACCATTTTGGTGGGACCCTTCCCTGGACCCTCGCCTTGCGAGGACGATAATGTGCACCGGGCTGCCTTTTTAGCTCCGATATCATATGCCTATTCATGTTAGCCGACCCCAAACTCTTTTGGGACTAGGGCTTGGATGTTGTTGTTGTCAAGGGATGTTCGTGATGTTTATTTTGGTTTATTCTTTATTAGAATGTTTCAATTGAAAGAAGATGGGGTTAAAAAGTTATATAACCATACAGAAATCACGACATTCTTGAACTGACAGGAATGGCATTTTAATTTTATAGAATGTAAACTTACTACCATTTTATTGTAATGTTTTCTTTTTTATATACCATTCTATCATAGGCCTAACAGAATCTCTGTTCCTCCCGCACAAGGATATTTACATCGAGTATGAACAGGCCTCTCTCAGGCAACTTTACAAAGCTAAGGTCTGAAACATACTTTCTCACTTTTTTTGAAAAGTTTTATACTTCCCTTTTCATCCCTCTGCCCCACCCAACCATATTCTTACCACAAATTCTTCCTTCCCTGGAATGAGTATTGAGTACTTCAAAAGTGGTTGGTCTATTCGTTTGGCTGAAGGAGCCCCCCCACCTGCAACAAGGGTGAAAATTTCCCTAGAACCCAGTCTAGATTATAACTGCTCTTCAACATCTCAGCAGATCTTTGGATTTGACAAAAAAAGCTAGGAACTCTGAAATTCTCAAAGTCGTGAAACATAATTTCTCTGATGTTATATCTTGCAGATGGAGGAGCTTCATTCTGAAAGCCAGCAATCGTCTGAGTCATCTGGCACTATAGGACGCTCTAAGGGCAATTCAATGACATTGTCTCACCAGCAAATATCTGTTACGGTGGTGACAGAGTTTGTGCGATGGAATGAAGAAGCAATATCTAGATGCACCTTGTTTTCATCACAGGTATTTATGAGGTTATGCCATGTGGTTGCATGTTAACCTCTTGTTCGAAGAGAAGATAATAGGTGTTAATATTTTTGTCTTGATAGTTTCAAATACCCCTGCTCTCAGTCTAATGGTGTCAGATATATAAATTGGAAATTAGTTTTAATGAATAACTCCTTGCTGGTCGAGAGCATACTCTGTGTTCTGATACCTTCATCTAGCTTTAAGAATTCAATTTTCATTGAGAATTCACAATTGCTTGTATATTTCTACTTATGATTGACTTTTCTTTCAGCCTGCAACACTTGCTGCCTATGTAAGAGCTGTTTTCACTTGCCTTTTGGACCAAGTAAGTATTCTCACCACCTTGTCATGCTGATGGACTTTGATATTTCCTAAAAAGTTTCCATTTTGGATTTTGGAATTTCGTAAAAGCAATCAAAGTATTCCATAGGGTATATGTAAAGCACTTAATATTTCCTCAGTCCCTCCATTCCGAATTGTAAGACGGACACAATTACCGCAACTTCAGATTTTCATCATTTATGTACAACATCCAAGTCATAGTCCCAAAAGAGTTTGGGGTCGGTTAACATGAAATCGGAGTTAAAAAGATAAAAAGAGATAAATCCTCCACACATGTACTCTCCCTCCACTTCATTCTCTCCAAAGTCACACTCTCATCTAACCTAAGAGGTACCATATCATATCATTTCTGACCACTACAATCCCCGTATACTTGAGTCGTCTTCTCCACATCTCCTCCCCCCATCTTCTCCCCACCTCTCAATTTGTTTAACAAATGCATCATTTGGTCTTCTAGACTTCTACACACACGACCAAACCACCGCAATCGAGATTGTCGCAACTTATCTCTAATAGGTGATACCCTCCACCTCTTGCTTGATTGTCTCATTCCTCAAGCGTTCTTTTTTAGTATACGTCCACACATCCAATGCAAAATGTGCATCTCAACGACACTTATCTTATGAATGTGACGTTGTTTCACCGCCCAACACTCTACGCCATACAATAATGAAGACTAATTCTTTCCGATAAAACTTACCCTTCAATCTAGTCGTCATACTTTGATCTCATAGAAATCCTGACGCACTCTTCCATTTCATCCACCTTGTTATGATTTTATGGGATACATCTCCATCTAGTTCACCATCCTGACGGAAGTACGGAACATATCATTGATCAATATCTCCCTAACATATAAGACAATTCCACTATTAGTCTATTATCATTGCTTCTCACTCCTGAAACCCTTGTTCTCCAAAGTTTTTGTCATACTTCCAACTTCGCTTTGACACTCCACCTTGTCTCATCAATCAACATAATCAAACATCATGCACCACAGTATACCTTCTTGAATTGACTTCATGAGTTTATCCATGACTATAGCAAATAAGAACTTAGAATCGATGCTTGATGCACTCTAATAGTAATAGGGAACTCTGTAGACCTCCCTACACCACCCTACACCAGTGCGAACATGTGTAGTACAATCCTGGTAAATTTCCATCAAAATCAATGTTATAAAAGATACGTTTAAGCCTTGAGGCGAGACATAAACCTTGTGTTATACAAATACAGAGTATTACTTTAAATATCAAATTTACTAACAACCTACTCTGTTTGTCCCATTTTTGTAAGATAGTTTCAGTTTATGGGCTATCCCAAAAATATGAACAAGTCAACAACATCCAAACCTCACTCCCAAAAGAGTTTGGGGTCAGCTAACATGAATCGACATAATCCCAAAAAAATATGAACACTTTCCAAAATTGAACACTTTCCACTAACAGTTTACTTTCGTACTCTATCTCTTTATATATCATTTTACCTTTTTACTTTTTGTGAACCCATACTACTTTTTCTTACCTTTCAGAGTTTTTTTTAAAACTATATCCTTTCTTTTCTTAAAACTCGTGCCAAACCCAAATTTGGAACGGAGGTAGTTAAGCGTGGTATCAATTTTATGTAGAAAATGGATCATAGTAAGTGACAAACCACAATCATAATTTATTTAGAAAATGGATCAATTTTCTTTAACTAAGACAGAGTACACGGAGTGCAAGTTTAGTGGAGGTAGAAGCAGTGGTAACAGCGGAATTACTCTAGATGGTAAGGAGATTCCAATCAGCGATATGTTCCGTTACTTGGGCTCCATAATTCAGAAGGACGGTGAGTTAGATGGAGATGTATCCCATCGAATCAGAACAGGGTGGATGAAGTGGAAGAGTGCGTCAGGATTTCTATGCGATAGAGGTATGCCGACTAGTCTGAAGGGTAAGTTTTATAGGACAGCAATTAGGCCTGCATTACTGTATGGCGTAGAGTGTTGGGCTGTGAAACAATGTCACATTCAAAAAATGAGTGTGGCAGAGATGCGCATGCTGCGTTGGATGTGTGGGCATACTAGGAAGGACCACGTGAGGAATGAGACAACCAGACAAAGGGTGGGAGTAGCACCTATTGAAGACAAGATGGTAGAGTTAAGATCACGAATAAAAGAAGAAACGAAATTGATAGAGTTCAAAGCTCAGAACCAAAGGTTCTGCCCAGCAATAGCCGTCAACAATAATGAGAATTTCCTGCCCTATTATCTGAAGGAAAACTAATTAAATACTAATCCTTACTAAGGCCCATGCAAACATTAAGCCCATACCCTAATTTAGCCTAAAAACAATAACATAAGTAATAACAATAATAATTACTAAATAATAAACTAAACAGCAGCATCAGTAGCGGCTTGAACAGCTGGAGCGGCAGCCCTGTTCTTCCTTCGTGTATAAACTCTTATATCTCTCTTCGATGCAACGCTATCAATTGCCCCCGTCGCCGAAACAGCCTTGTCCTCAAGGCTAAACCACGGAAACTGCCCCAGCATCACAGCAACATCTTCCCACGAACTTTCTTCCATTGCCAACCCCTTCCACTGCACTAAAACTTGCTCGACATTTACCCCATTACGCATGATCCACCTCCGTTGAAGCACTGCTGCAGGTAGGAAAGGTGGGTCGGCTGTCAACAATTCATCGGGTAAGGACAACGAAGCATTCACTTGCCCCACAGCCGGCTTCAATAGCGAAACATGAAAAACAGGGTGAACTTTAGAATTTTCTGGTAGTTTCAAACGATAGGCCACTGCTCCGATTCTTGCTTCCACCGCAAAAGGTCCAAAGAATCGCGGTGCAAGCTTGGAATGCGAAATAGCAAACAAACTTCGCTGTCTATACGGACGAAACTTAAGATAAACCATATCTCCTTCCTTAAATTCCAAGGGTCGACGGTGTTTATTTGCTTCTTTAACCATACGCTGCTGAGCTCGCTCCAAATGTGTTCGCAAGTGAGCCAAAATGTCATCCCTTTCGCGCAATGAGTCTGCTAAGGCCTGCACGCGCACTTCTCCGGGTAAAAATGGAACCAACTGCGGTGGTGGTCGACCATACACCACCTCAAAAGGGGTCATCCCCGTACTAGACTGAAATCCCGTATTAAAACAATACTCTGCCCATGCTAACCATTTTCCCCATCCCTGCGGACGTTCAGAAGCGAAACAACGTAAATAAGTCTCCAGACACCGATTCATAACCTCAGTTTGACCATCTGTTTCTGGGTGATACGCGGAACTCATGCGTAAAGTGGTTCCGGCTGTTTTAAATAACTCCCTCCAGAATGAACTTAAAAAAATTGGATCCCGATCAGACACGATAGATTCTGGCATTCCATGTAAGCGCACCACCTCTCGAGCGAACACCTCAGCAACCGAACGAGCTGAAAAAGGATGTTTCAACCCCATAAAGTGACAATATTTCGAAAGACGATCCACCACCACCAATACGCAATCAAATCCACCTGACCGAGGGAGTCCTGTAATAAAATCCATGCTAATATCTTTCCACACGCGATCAGGAATAGGCAGAGGGCTGAGCAACCCAGCCGGACTCTTACTTTCGTACTTATTCTTCTGACAAACATCACAGGCTGCCACCAATGAAGTGATAGCTTTCATCATTCCCGGCCAATAAATATTAGAAGCCAACCTCCGATATGTTCTGAAAGCTCCAGAATGACCCCCAGACGGAGTCAAATGAAATTCAGCAAATAATTTTTTTATCCAGGGAGAATCAGCTGGAATCACTACCCGGCCCTTATAGAAGAGCGTTCCATGAACATAGCTATAGTGCTTTGGCCCCTCACGACCTTCTTCCAGAGCCTTGATAATATCCGAAAGCCGCGAATCAGCCCTCACATCGTCCTGCAATGTACTCCAATCCAGCCAATGAGGAATTGAGACCGCCGCTAGCTCTAACCCCTCATCTCGCCGAGAAAGTGCATCGGCAGCTTTGTTGAACCTACCTTCCTTATAAACAATTTCAAAATCAAATCCTAGCAATTTGGCTGCCCAATTTTGCTGCGCCGGTGTCATGAGGGATTGTGAGAGTAATTGTTTGAGGCTACGTTGGTCAGTGCGAACCACAAATCTGCGTCCTAACAAGTACGGCCGCCAGTGTTGCACAGCTAGGACAAGAGCCATCAATTCCTTCTCGTATGCCGATTTGGATAACAACCGTCCCGATAAACTCTTGCTAAAATACGCCACTGGTTGGCGATCCTGCATTAGAACAGCTCCTATTCCACGTCCCGACGCGTCACACTCAATCTCAAAAGGTTGAGAGAAATCTGGCATGCGCAACACCGGAGCCGAAGTGAGCGCTTGTTTGAGGTTCTGAAAGGCAGCCTCGGCATCCGGGGTCCACTTCCACGCTGTTGGATTATCCTTCTTCAATAGCGCAGTCAAAGGGGCCGCGAGTTTCCCATAATCGCAAATAAAGCGACGATAGTAACCTGTAAGGCCTAAGAAACCCCTCAACCCCCGGAGAGTCGTCGGAGTAGGCCATTTCAACACTGCTCCTATCTTCACTGGATCCATGTGCACCCCTTTACTCGATACAATATGCCCCAAATATTCCACCTGAGAGTGACCCAACGCACATTTCTTGGGATTAATAACGAGAGAATGTGTACGCAAACTAGTGAACACCTGATGCAAATGACGAAGGTGTTCTTCCCATGTCGAGCTATACACCAAGATATCGTCAAAAAAAACCAATACAAATTTTCGGAGAAATGGACGAAATATGTCGTTCATAAGACACTGGAAAGTAGCTGGAGCGTTGGTAAGTCCAAAGGGCATGACTAGGAACTCATAGTGCCCTGAATGCGTCCGAAAGGCAGTCTTATGAACATCTTCTGGGGCAATGCGAATCTGATGGTACCCCGCACGCAGATCCAATTTACTGAACCAATGAGCGCCATGAAGCTCATCTAGCAATTCTTGAATAACTGGAATAGGATATTTGTCCGCCACCGTCACCTTATTTAAAGCGCGATAATCCACACAAAATCGCCAAGACCCATCTTTCTTCCGAACTAGTAAAACCGGGCTCGAATACGGGCTGCAACTCGGTTGAATGATTCCAGCAGCCAGCATTTCGGCAACTAACTTCTCCATTTCGTCCTTTTGAGAATGGTTATATCGATATGGACGAACAGAGATCGGAGGGACTCCATCCTGCAGCACAATGCGGTGATCGCCACGGCGCGAGGGTGGCAGCCCCACAGTTGTCTCGGATACTTCAGGAAAATCAGCCAGCAGCTTGGTCAGCGCTGCGTGCTGCACTTCTGACAAGGAGGGTGATGGCGGAAAGGAGGTCGTACCGGCACCCTCCAGGGCCCATAATAGCCATGCCCCGTCGCCACCCTCGATGGAGCAGAAGTCAGTCCCTGCACACTCACGCCGAGTCAACGATGGGTCCCCGTGCAGACTTATCTTCTTCCCATTGACGGAAAAATCCATCGTGAGCTTGGCCCAGTTAGCTGTGACATCTCCCAATTGTGCCAACCAAGAGACCCCTAGAATCACGTCAACGCTGCGCAACGGAAACACATAGCAAGTAATAGAGAATAAATGACCAGCAATCAGAAACGGAATGGCCGTACATACACCTTGTGATGAGACACGGGTCCCGTCCCCTAAGATTACCGCAAAGGAGGCAGTCGTGTCGACAGTGAGGCGAAGATACTGAGCCATATGAGTCGAGATAAAACAGTGACTCGCCCCACTGTCAATCATTGTTAGTAGTCTGCAATGGCCTACAGAACTGAATAGCTTCAGTGTTTGTGCTCCATCGAACCCATTAGAAGACAGGTTAGAGAGTGCAAGGTGTTGTAGCTCGTCGGTGACATGTGGGTCGGGGACAACTGTCTCCAGCCCCGGTTCGAAGGGCTCTGAATCCTGCTCCAATTCTTCTTCAATCTCAGCTTCAAGAAGTACGGCTAACGTTTTGGCTGGGCACTTGTGAAGAGGGCCATATTGACCTCCACAACGGTAACATTTCCCTGTTGCGCGGTATTCCGCTTGTTGCGCAGGTGTTAGACGGCGAGAACTACGAATTTCCGAATGTGGTGAGGGTCGTACCGAATTCGAATTTGTGGATTGCGTGGGAACGGAAGGTGAACGCTGGAATGTCGACGTGCCACGGGAAAAGTTGCCTTGGCTAAATGTGGGCCGCGGAGGCCCACCATGTAGCTTAGGGGCCCGCGCAATGCGCCGCGCTGCACGAATGGCGGTAAAGACATCCGTCAGCTCTAAATCCGGAAGGCGGTCTCGAATAGCAGGCTGCAGGCCTCCCAGAAATATACCCAAATACTGTTCTGGAGGTAACGAGGGTAATTGAGCTACCCGTTCTTCGAAAAGTGACAAATAATCCTCCAGGGAACCAGTTTGACGCGTCAAGTGCATTGCTTCGTATGCGTTGATAGCAGAGCTATCACCAAAACGAGCGATAAGCTCCGCTGAAAACTCAGTCCACGATATCGAGGCGGCGCGTCGTAGTACCCACTGAGCCCAAAACATCGCTTTGCCAGACATGGCGATTAGGGCTAATTGAACGCGGTGCTCCTTAGCGGTGTGGTGCACCAGAAAGTACTGCTCGGCTTGAGCCAACCAAGCCAAAGGGTCTGTGCCATCAAACGTCGGAAGGTCCATGCGAGGTAGCGCTGCGGAGGAGGCGGAGAATGCAGGCTCTGGGCTGGAATCATGCTGCCCTACTGACGCGGCGACTGCAGCCCCCGAGTAGTTGGTCACGCTGGCCAGTGCGTCTAGCTTCGCCAGGATGGCGGTGAATTGATCAGAGTGAGCCGCCAGTGTGTGCTCAACCGTCGTCATCGACGTCTCCAGTCCGTCAACGGTCTTCGCCAACTCGCCGAACGCAGAATTTAGGTTCTTCGTGGCCTTCTCTACCTCGTCAATTCTCTCAGAATTCGTCGGCATGGTCGGACCAATTTGGTAGAGTTAAGATCACGAATAAAAGAAGAAACGAAATTGATAGAGTTCAAAGCTCAGAACCAAAGGTTCTGCCCAGCAATAGCCGTCAACAATAATGAGAATTTCCTGCCCTATTATCTGAAGGAAAACTAATTAAATACTAATCCTTACTAAGGCCCATGCAAACATTAAGCCCATACCCTAATTTAGCCTAAAAACAATAACATAAGTAATAACAATAATAATTACTAAATAATAAACTAAACAGCAGCATCAGTAGCGGCTTGAACAGCTGGAGCGGCAGCCCTGTTCTTCCTTCGTGTATAAACTCTTATATCTCTCTTCGATGCAACGCTATCACAAGATGCGGGAGTCGCGCCTACGGTGGTTTGGTCATGTGTGTAGAAGACCGGGTGATGCACCTGTCAGACGAGTTGAGATGTGTGGAGAAGAGGCAAGGAAGAGAGGGAGAGGAAGACCCAAACAGACGTGGGTTAGGGGAGTCCAAAGTGATATGCTTCTTCTTGGGTTAGATGAGGGTATGACTTTGGAGAGAGCGAAGTGGAGGGCGAATATTCGTGTGGAGGAGTGATCTCGTATATCTTTTCCCTTTTTTTATCCTTATATATATAAACATTATTTTATCCTTTTTATTTTATCATTTTTAAGTATATTCATCTCTTTTTATATTATCTTTTTCATAATAGCTTATCTTTTTTATCTTTGTTTTCTTTCTTTTCCTTTTGGTGGTGATATCATGTATGGATTCATGTTAGCCGACCCCAATATCTTTTGGGACTAAGGCTTGGATGTTGTTGTTGTTGTTGTAAGATTTTTTAAGATTTTATTTCCTAAATAAAATCAGAAAATGCTGTTCAACTATGGAAACGGAGAGGAAATGTCGGAAAATACTGATATCTTGCAGCAATTTGAATAAAAAGGAAAAAGTGATAAAATAAAAAGGAAAAAGATGTGAAGTTAGGTTACTTCTGATGTAGCTAAAGTAGTTTGAACCTCATTGAAAGGAAGAGAAGAATGGTATATATGCTCTTCTAAGAGTACATTCTAAGAGTAATTTACCTGGTACAAACTACTTAATGCATATGTTGGTGGTTTTATGGGTGGCCTACATTTACCTGTTTTACATAAAAACGTGTTATCAATTGAGCATAAAATGTATCATAATTAATTTCCATAATTTACTACCACAAGTTTGACTCCAAAGAAAAGTTACATAATTGATTTTTCCTAAATAAAATCAGAAAGTGTTTCCAAATGATAGAACAGAGAAAAAATGGCCAGAGATTTTGATAATCTGGAGTAACATAAACATAAAAAGATAAAGTGTTACTTCTTATGTTATTACCTGAATCATTAAGGAAAAAAGTAGCAGGAGTTGTTTGAACCTCGCTGAGAGGATGAGAAGAATAGTAGTAGTTAGCTCAGTAGCTCTGCAAGAAATGTTTGCATTTCCACAGTAGTGCAGAGTACTGAGGAAATGCTCTGTTGCAGGTTATGAAATTTGAGTGAATTTTTTAAGTGAATTGTTTGCCGATAATTGTTGATTTTGGAAAATAGATTTTATGGATTTAAAATTTTAATGGGCTTGGTGACATAAGTACTAAAAATACCCAATATGACTTTTATTTAAAAATAATTAGCCAGTACAAATCTTAAGACAAAAATATGAGGCTTTTCAGGCTTAAGGCCTCGCAAGCGCCTGAACCATTTGAAGCTTGCGCCTTAGTGCATTGTCATTGAAAACATCATATTGTTGTACCCCATTGTTATGGCTCAATGCCCAAAAGTGGAAATCAAACCCATTGTGAAGTAAATCCAAACTTAATCTATGTTTCCAATACCAATATACCATTCCCCAAACCTTCCAACTAAGGACCTTCTAATTCCAGTATGCATTCAGTTCTTTATCTACAAAGAGAAATATGAAATCGTTAGCATGGCATCAAAAGATTCCTCCTAGAGCAGATGTGATTATGTGAATAAGAATAGAAGACACTCTTTTGTATCTATTTTACATTCAGTGTACACATTTTTATGTTTTGCTACAACAATAAGATGCTTGTAGCAACTAGTTTTTGCTTGGTTATTGGTCAAAATTTAATCCTAAACTGCCTACCCTTTTGTTTTCTTTTTTCTTTTGCAGGTTAGTATGTACATTACTGAAGGCCTTGAGAGAGCCAGGGACAGCTTAACTGAAGCTGCAGCTTTGAGGGAAAGATTTGTGTTAGGAACTAGTGTTAGTAGAAGGGTTGCTGCTGCGGCTGCTTCAGCTGTAACTACCATTATCATCTGCATTTATTTAGTTTGAATGTAGTCAAGATTGTTTCTAGAAACTACCATACTTGGATCATACTGTATCCATAAGCTGGGTGAGTAATGAAGGTTTCATGATCTATAGGCAGAAGCTGCTGCTGCTGCTGGGGAAAGCAGTTTCAAATCTTTCATGGTGGCTGTTCAACGTTGTGGGAGCAGTGTGGCTATTGTGCAACAAGTATGTTTTTTTGCTGTGCGGTCCTTCCGTTGGAGCTGTTAGAACACACATTGATAGTTGTTGAATACTTTTTATGCAGTACTTTGCCAACTCTATATCCCGTCTTTTATTACCTGTTGACGGTGCACATGCTGCCTCCTGCGAAGAAATGGCAACAGCCATGTCAAGTGCTGAGGGTGCTGCTTATAAGGGTCTTCAACAATGCATTGAAACTGTTATGGCTGAGGTTATACCCAACTTATTTCCTTCCCATAGTGGCACATGATTTAACCATTTTTAATGTTTTAATTTTGTTATTTGAATAATATTTTAGCTATATATTTTCACTGCTGTATAGGTGGAACGTCTGCTATCAACGGAACAGAAGGCAACAGATTATCGGTCACCTGATGATGGCATTGCCCCTGATCATCGACCAACCATTGCCTGTACAAGGTGCATAATATAAATGCTTACTGAGATGACTCTCTTTTGAGTTTTAACATGCATCTTCTGATATCTTTCAGCATTTCTATAGAAAATCTATGATGTATTTATATGTTGATCTTTTTCATGTTTCTTTTCTTTTCCTTTGTTTTGTTTTCTTTTCATCATCATCCCTTTTTTACTTTTCTGCTCTTATTGTCTAACTGGAATCTTGAATATGTTACCATTATTTATCTTTTCAATTTAAATTAGTTTTCCTTTAACCAGAGTTGTTGCTTACCTGTCCCGAGTACTTGAATCTGCATTTACTGCACTTGATGGGCTCAACAAACAAGCATTTCTCAGTGAACTGGTATGTCCTTTTCTTTCTTTTATATGTTTTGCGATTTTTTTCATGCCTTTATTTTAAGCATTCACTTCTGGTACTTGTCATCATCATCATCATTATCCCAGTGCCGCAAAGGCTCCCACCTATGGTGGTTTAAGGGGGGTCGGATGTACGCAGTCTTACCCCTGTACTAAAGCATAAAGCACAGAGACTGTTTCCGGATGACCCACTTCTGGTACTTGTATATCTGTGAAATTCATTATCACCTTGACCTTGTTATCTCCATATCAGTCCCAAAACCTTGAAGTTTTTCTTCTGTTGCTTTGAGCTAACCTTTAAGTACTGGATATGTCAGTTTGTTAAGATGCGTTGAAATGAATTGAAATGAAATGTGTTTGTTTTAATGTAAATTTACTCTCAAAATGTATTTGATTACATGACGGTTAAAACTAACTGTTATTACAGTCTACCAAATTACACCTAATTTGTTCTAAAAATAGCTGCTTTAGCCCATATTCTTTCTTACATATGTTTAATGCTTATACATTTCAAATTTTGTCTTCAGGGAAACCGCCTTCATAAAGGTTTACTTAATCACTGGCAGAAGTTTACTTTCAATCCTAGGTAATCATACCTTGCTTTCTTGGCTGTCGTATTTATGTTAACATTTGGTATTTTTGATGATGCTTGATTTGCAACCGTAGTAACCCCCAATATCTATACATTAGTATTAACGTTTAACAGTTTTGTATAAGATTACTGTGACCTTAGGAACACATCTATGACTTTGAAGCCTTAACTTGCACTTTACTCCTTGGATGGCTGCGGAAAAATGGAGTCTGAATTTGTTCATGAATTAAGTGTAGTGCTCTGTAACTTGTTCTGAGTATGCTTGACCAATTGTAGTGGAGGATTGCGCTTGAAACGTGATATAACAGAGTATGGGGAGTTTGTTCGTAGCTTCAATGCCCCTTCAGTAGATGAGAAATTCGAACTGCTGGGAATGTGAGTTGGAAATCTTTGGAAGTCTTAGGCCTTTCTTATTGTATAAATAAAATAAATTTCCCCGAACTGATTGTTTATTATTATCATTATCGAATGTAGCATGGCAAATGTCTTCATTGTCGCTCCCGAAAGCCTCTCCTCTCTTGTTGAGGGAACCCCAAGCATCAGGAAAGATGCACAGAGGTAACATTATGCTCTTTTCACTATGTGTATGCATGCAAATTCTATTTTAGCATCCATTGGTGATAGTTGCCTTCCTATTCAGGCATTCATTTACGTACCCACTGCCTTTGTTCCCCTAAAAATCATATTTTTAACTCAAAACAGTAATACAAATATATAATTTGTTTTGGATGAGGCCCGAGGGGCCTAGGGTAGTATATATTGAAGTAGCTGAGCATTGTGAATGCACAAACGTATGAGTTCTGATGACCTGATTAATACAAAAATCCAATCCTTTGTGCAAAATTTGGAATGTAGAGAATTGTGTAGAAGTCATCAACTTAGCAACGGATTTTACATTTGATCACATCACCCATAGTTGATCATTGCATAAGAGTTGATCACATGATTGTTAAATTTTGTTGATGGGGAAAAGCCAACGTAGAATGCCACATAAGTCAATTTAACCATTGATTTAAGGTAAATTTAGCTTTAGCTTTGATCAACTTTGAAATTTATTGCAAATTGTTGACTTTATAAAAATTTGACTAAATTCTAAAATCCGCCCGAAGGATTTGGCGATGATTTGTTTTTTTTTTACAATAGTAGCCTCTTTTTTACCTTCCTACTCTATTTTTATCTTCCTCTTTCTAGAGTTTATTATGAGCAATTTTGTAATTGGCTCTTAATTTTAGGTTTATTCAGCTTCGAGAGGACTACAAGAGTGCAAAGCTTGCCTCCAAGCTCAGCTCCTTGTTTGGCTAAGGCACCTATGTTACCTCATACAGAAGCTGCATTCTAGAGAAAAGTCTTTGACAGAGTGACATAGCCTTTATTTAGAGGGGCATGCTGGTCTTTTAAATTATGACCTATGTAAATTATAATTATTGTTGATTAATACATTATAAAAGATCAAACTCTGTAATTTATAAACAATACATATGGGCATAGTCTAGTTACGGATGAGATTTGTTTACTCTTTTACGCTTTTACGGGCATAGTCTAATTTATAAAGCCTTGTGATTGAGAAACCTCCCTACGATTACATTGAAGGTGTTAACCGGTCACATTTGTCACCTTGTTAGTACCTACTGTTATTTTATCTCAAATGCACAATTGTGCCTCCGGGAACCAGAATTTGATGGTTGATGGTGGTTAGTTTGGAATTGGATTGGAACATGTCAACTAACCCCTAGTGCCAACACATGCCTTTTGACCATTGTTACAATGGCACTTGGGTGAGTTGTGGCACCAGCAAATTGCCTTATCGCCTAGGCTATGAGTCATCATATATACTACTTATGTCCCGTTGGAAAGTTCCCATAGCAAAACGGCACAGTATTTAGGCAATAATTAAATAAAGTACTTCGAGTATATTTTGGGAAATAATTTGAATAGGTGTATATTATAATGTAGTTAGTATTGATAATTATATTGTTATAAATGTATTTTTAACATTTAATGATTAATTTGTCACTTAAGATTGTTAATTGTTTCCTAAAAAGAAAATGAGAACCTTTATATGGGACGTCCAAAAAGGAAAGTGGGAACCTAATTGGACGGAGGGAGTAATATGTAGTATTCAAATATTATAAAATTATGTACTACCTCCGTTCTTAAATAAATACAACATATTGAATTTTATACCATTCACATGTTCTACTTTGATTACGTTTCATTTATTAATATATTTAAAAAAAATTGAAAAAAATATTGTTAAATTTGTCTCATTGTAAATTTTCAAAAAATTATTCTTTTTTTAATTTTTTTTAGTAATAGAGAATTGTATATATTAAAGGTCAAACTTGTGTCTCGGTCAATGTGAAAGGTTGACCGTTGCCCTTATTTAAGAAGGGAAAAGGGGTAAATAAGCCCTCGAACTAATCAAAAAAGTGCAAATAAGCCCTTTTGTAGGAGGTTCTGTCTGATCATCGTCATTTGGGGAGGTTCTCGGTGGAATTTTTTGATGAATTTTTTGGAACCTCTTCTTCATTAAGTCTAGTTTAGACATACCAAATTTCAGCTAAAAATTCAACCGGGAAGACACTCAAATGATTTTCGGAAATATACTGCGTTGTTTAACTGCGCAGTTATCTTCAAAAATTCATTTGAATGTCTTCCCGATTGAATTTTTAGCTAAAATTCGGTATGACTAAACTAGACTTAATGAATAAGATGCTAAAAAAAATTCATCAAAAAATTCCACCGGGAAACTCCCCAAATGACGATGGCCGGACGGAACCTCCTACAAAAGGGCTTATTTGCACTTTTTTTATTAGTTCGAGGGCTTATTTGCCCCTTTTCCCATTTAAGAATGGAGGAATTATGAGTTTAAATTTGTCAATGCAACCAAAACAAAGTTGTTAAAAGATGGAGTACAATTTTACAGAAAATGATGTTAATCCATTTTTAATATTGGATTCCAACTGGAACACAAGTATCTTAGCGATATGAAGGATTCAGAAACTATGAAAAGGAAATGAGGCTATGAGTGACTGTAACCGACGATACAGAACCTACATTGGTGACTGGCGGAGGCGGTTCGTGACAATAAGAGGCTATAAGAATTAGGGATTTTTTGGGTGAGGTACGGGAGTAAAAAACGTCTAGCATAGTTATGGAGATTGAGCGACACCCAATCAACACCACAGACCACCTAAGAGACTTCAAGCGAGTCGACAATGTATGGCACAACTCTAACATCATTGGGACGCCTAGGCAACGTCGTGATAATTATGTCGCTTTGTTTCTCAAATGTAATTTGTGAAAGTATTTATTCAACTAGTGAACACAATCCATTTGTGGTTTAATCCCATTATCTTAATTACATCCAAGAACCTAACCTTAACTAGTTATGACTTATGATCAAAGTGGTTTTAGATTTCTTGTAACAAACGATTCCAGATCAAATTCCAATACTTCTATTCAAATGAATGATTATACTTGTTTCTAACTCTTTAGAAAGAATTACACCAAAACAAGTAAGGGTGGACCGGTTCCGGTTCGGGCCCGGTTCGGGCCTGGGCCCGGCCGGGCCTCGGTTCAGAAAAAGGAGGCCCGGGCCCGAACCGGTGGTGGGCGGTTCCGGTTCCGGGCCAGAACCGGGCCGGGCCGGGCCGGGCCACCCGGAATGTTTTTTTTTTTTTTTCTTCTTCTTCTCTTATTTAACCCCCTACCCCTCCCCCTCCACCCCAAACCACCCCAAACCACCTCAAATGGCCCAAAATACCTAATCCAACCCAAAACTTAAAAAAATTTCAAAAAAAAAAAAAAAAAAAAAAATTAAATTTCGGCCCGAACCGGGCCCGGCCCGGCCGGGCCGGTTCACTAAACTGGAGGCCCGGGCCCGGACCGGTATACCACCGGGCCTGGAAGCCCGAACCGGAACCGAACCGGTTGACCGGGCCGGTCCGGGCCCGCACAGTAGCGGGCCGGTCCGGTTCCGGGCCGGTTGGCCCGGCCCGAGTCCATCCCTAAAAACAAGTCGGGTATGAGTCTGAGTTTATCCATGCAATCAAAACCGTTCCAAGGATGTTTTCGATGATTCTAAAATACAATAGAATAGGAATCTATGAGACAAGAAAATTTCAATTCAATCAAAGTTTGATTACCTTTCTAACCTATGTAGAACATTTTCTTCCAAACAAGCATTTCCCCAAATGTATTTCCCTTGCGCTCAAATGGAACTCGAGTACTTCAATAGTTTATTAATTTAGTGCAACTGTGCAATGTCCAGATTGGGATCTGAGTACCAACATTCATTGGTATCTAATCTGAACCGTCAATAAATAAGGTGAATAGATGAAGCAACTACTCACTCTGGAAGTCAAAGGTGAAGAAGAAACAAAGCGCACAAGTGATGTAATAAGACTGCAATAAACTTCCATCCCAGTGACAATCAATTTGACAAAAAAAACACAAAAAAGCAACATTGAGGTTTATTTGCAACAAACATTTTCAGTTCACTACGAAACAAACAATAATCCATGAAACATGACTAATATAAAAACTACAGCACTATTATATAATCTCAGTCTCATAGGTGATGGTGATGAAATATATGTATTGTCATTGGCTTTTTCTCTCTTCTTGCCGTGTTCCTATATATCATCATATAGAGCTAGCCCCGGGATAACAAAACAGTCCTTTCTTTAATCCAGCTTCACAGAAGAGAAGAGGTAATGCACAAACCAGAACGAGGAAAGGAAGCCGACTGTACCAGTGGCAAGCATGATTGCCACAACCATGAAAAGAGAGTATCCCAAGTAAAGGGTGGCCGAAACTGGCCCGCTCAAGCTCTTCAGGTCAAAGATCAGATAGTTGATAGAGTACAAGAAAATATATATAGCAACAGATCCAGAAGCAAAGAACGACTTCCACCACCACTGCCAATCCTCCACACACAGATGCATGTAGGTCAAAACGAGTGACACCTCAGCACACACAACCACTAGGAGGACCATTACAATGAGGAGAAACCCGAAGACATAGTAAACCCTTCCCATCCATAGGCTAGACATGATGAAAAACAGCTCAATGAAGAGTGTCCCAAAAGGTAGGGTCCCTGCCCCAAGGACCAACAGCCAAGACGGGTACTTTTGGGCGGGGATTTCTCTAGGGATTTGGTTGGTACGGACCGGATACTCAATGTGGGGTGCCTTTGCCCCAAGGTAACCCCCAAAGAGGGTAAGTGGGACCGAGATGCAAAACCATAGTAAGATAAGAATGACATATAGTGAGAATGGAATGGCCCCAGTGCTATGGCTACCCCAAAGCAAGAAATTCAAAGTGGTGAGTATAATGAAAGAAATTCCAGGGAAAAAGCAAGCGGCTTTCCACGAAACAGATATCCATCCCTTGTGATCACCACAGAAGATCGTCCTCCATAAACGAACTGCCACATACCCAGCAGCAACACCAAGAATCATGTAGATGAACAGCATTCCGGTGATCAATGTCCCACGTGAGGCAGGGGACATGAATCCAAGGGCTGCAAAGAGAATAGTGACCAAACCCATCCCTAGGATCTGGACCCCATCCCCTACCATTACACACAACAAGGCTGGATTCCTAGGTGCCCGGAAAACATCTGCAACAACAAGTTTCCAACCAGACAACTCCTCATTCATTTGGGCCTGGGCCTCCTTGTCGAGCTCCTCATACCTTGTCAGGTCCCGCCTTACTGTCCTCAAGAAGATGACAAGAACAATTCCTGCCAAGAAGGTGATGACCATTAAGGAGTTCAGGATGGAGAACCAATGCACCTTTGCCCCCTCCATCTTCAAGTATGCGTCCCATCTCGACGGCCACTTAATGTCGCTCTCTACAAAGTTAACCTCATATGAAAAGCCTACGGGCTCATTTTCTTTTATGGCCATGCCTACTCTACTCGGATCACACCTGATTGGCGATGGGTATTTTTCATACATCTTCAAGTTCTTCATTGAATCCTGATTGTGCTGGAAACTACAAGGGACAACCTCAAACCCAACAACCATGTATCCCGGTGTGTCAGATCCTGCTTTCCCGACTGTTGGGATCACCTCAGCTGCATCCCCTGTACCCATCACGCGGGCCACATTTGTCTCCTCGTACTTGTGAACAAGAACAGTTAACTTCAAGTGATTAAACACATAATAAGTTTCTTGAACCTTAACTCCAACTGGGTAACCGGTCCACCTCAAGAAGAAACCTTCCTTGGTGGTGTACCTAATGGCGGGCAAATTATCAAGGATCAAGTTAACCTGATACATCTCATCAATTCTCTTCTTCAGTAGCTTAAACTCTTGCCCTGACAGTGGTTTCGACTGACAGAGAAAAACCTCAGTTTGGTTTGTGAACATCTTAAACCTGTAAGGTGAGTTCTCAATCCTATCCCCCATGAGGAGCTCACCGAGGTTTTCAGCACTGTCCTTGATACCATCTTGGGGCTTACAGAAGGGCAAACTATAGTAACTGAAAGGAATCTCAGTGTCAATTGAAGTCAGGGAATTAACTTTCACATTCAAGAAATCTCCAACCCCGTATTTGTGAGGGTAACTACCAGGAAGATAAAACCCATGACCCAATGTAAATACCAAGCAGATGAAGAAACCCCGGATCTTAAATTTCTCCAAGAATCCCATTTTAGG